TATTACAAAAGAGAAAAAAGTATGTGTAAGAATGTATGATAATCTTTTAAGATTATTTATATTTGCATTTCAAAGTTTACAACAATTACAAGATTTTAGAGATGAATTACAAATGGCTAGTGTATTTGAAGATAATTATCCAATTGATGATGTAGAATGTGTTTCATATGAAATACCTTTTAAAAATTATGGAGAAAAAAAGATTAATAGAAATGGAATTCATATTAATTCAAATGAATTTAAAGTGTTTAAAGAAGAAGAAAATGAATACGTTATTCCATATCAATTAAATAATGTTGATGAAAATAAAGAATTACCTAATATTAGGGGATGTATATTTTTATATAAACATTCTAATGGTTGTACAATTTGTAGATTAAGTTTATCGAAAACTGTAGATAAAGAAAAATCATTCTTTTTATCTACAATAGATGAAGTTCAAAAAAAATATCATGCAATCTATCTTAGTCCACAAGAAAAGAGTGATTCAATGATACTTAAAACTAGTGATGAAATTAATATTATTTGGAATAAAATTGTTGATAATGCAAAAAAATTTACGGAAACAACTAATTTTAAAGATATAACCACAACATTTGATGAATATATTAAATACATATCTATTATTTTTGATAATGTTTTCTCTTTATTTGTTAAAGTTAAACTTGGAGAATCTATTATGCTTCAAACAAGAAGAGATAATGAAACAGAATTACCATTATATTCTTCATTAATTCAATTTATTACAGATAAATATTATTGGACTTATAATGGATTTGTAGAATTAATATTTGTAGAATTTGTACAAAGTAATTATTTCTTTTTTTGTAATAATGGAGAAATTTGTCCTATCCCCCATTCTTTTTTAATATTTATTAGAATTATTTCTTTGTTTATTATGACTGTTCCATCTGCATTTGAATTTTCACAACAACTTCTTAATTATTTAGAACTTATTTGTATGTCAGGAAGATTAAGACTTAATGAATCACATTCACAAAGGTCAATTGTTAGATTATTAGTAATGAAAAATAAATTAAAAAATCAACGCTACAATTCTTCAACAAATATCAGTCTTATTGATATGTATAATGAAAACTTATTTAGTGTACAAAGTTTAGTATTGTTATTTCTTAAATGGATGAATGTTGGAAAAAATTGTAATTTTCCTTTAAATCCTTCTATTCAAAATCTTGATTTACAAAATAAAGGAATTATTGCTTTACCTGTACAAGAAAATTTAAAAGAATGTCATCAATTAACTCAATTAAATATAAGCCAAAATCATCTTATTACTATCCCTTCACAAATTACTGAATTAACTCAATTAAAAGATTTAAATATATCAACTTGTTCTATATATTATATTCCTTATAATTGTTTTTCTCAATTAGTTAATTTAACATCATTAGATATCTCTGAAAAATCTGCTATTAATTCTGAATTAATCAAATTTCCTTCTTTTTCATTTCTTACTAAATTAGAATACCTTGATATATTTCTAATCATTGTAAAGCATCAGGTGAATCAATCTATCTTGAACTACCTTGTTCTTTACGTACATTTATTGCAAAACAAAGTCTTCAAACACTTCCTGATTTATCTAAATTAAAACGTTTAGAAAAATTAGATATCAGTGATAACAGACAATTAAAGTTAAATGCTTTGGCTGAAGTCACTTCTTTAAGAACTTTTATTTGTAGGAATAGAACTACTTCAACATTTCCACAACAACTATTTTCAATTAAACTTCGATGTCTTGATTTATCTGGTGATAAAATTGAACGACTACCACAAGCATTTTATAACTGCATTACATTGGAGAGTCTTGATTTATCAAATAATCAAATATCAACATTATCTAGTCAATTGTCAATGCTAAAAAATTTAAAGACATTACTTATTGATAATAATCCATTAACAAGTAAAATTACTTTAAAACCAATTCCTAATAGTGTTCCAATGTCATATCCATGTTATGTTCATGTATTTTGTACAAAAGGGTTTTATTCAGTATTTAAGAAAATGATTAAAATGAATAAGAAAAGTAATTTTGAATTCGTATCAGAAATAAGTGTTAATACAACAAAACCACAGTTGGTATTAAATTTTGTTGATGTAGAAAAAACTATTATTCCATACGGTATGGCTAATGATGATTTGTATATTATTCATCAAGAAGTAAAAGATCAAGCTGGATTAATAACTCATCACATATTATCAAGTGAAAAGAAATATTATTTCATTGGAGAGAAGAAGATGTGTTATTTGTTAAAGAAAAGAAAGTGTAAGAGAAGTGGGACTATTGGTAGTGATGTAGAAATTATAGATGCTGGTCCTTCAATGATTGATAAATTGGTTAGTTCTATTAATTCAGAAATTGATTATAAAAATGAAATTAGACGTATTGGAATGGAATTATATCAAACCCAATATGAAGAATTTACATTAACTACCAAGCAAATGATTCAATTGGTTAAATTCTACAACAGTAACTGTGATCAAACAACTTTAGATGAACTTAGTAATATTGGAGTGATTTTTGACTTAAAAAAGATTGAAGAAGGAATTAGTGAATGTGTTAAAAAAGGTTTAGAATATTGTCCAAAAGGAAGATACATTTTAAGACAAGTATTTGATAAAAAGAAGAACCTTGTGGAAAAAGAATTATCAAGTTTCAGACCATTAAGAGAGTGTTTTGAAAGATTGAATAAAATGACTGCTGATGATATTATTAATATTTGTAGAATATTACAAACACATAATGCATTATTTATGATTTATCCTAATTGGATTAGTGAAATGGGAATTACTGTTGAATCAGAGAAAGTTATTGAAAAATTAAAAGTCCCTGTTGAACAACCTAAAAGGAATAAATTAAATTGGAAAGTTGGATCAGGGACTAACAAAAGGTGTTCATTAGCAGAAACAGGATCTTTAGGCAAAAGAAGAAGTGAATGTTTATCACCTGATGAAGAAGGAGAACGTTTGGGATCAAAAAAAGATATTTTCCCAGTTGTATTACATCCGTCTATTATTAAAATGAAAGAAAATGCATGGCCTTTACATTCAAAAAATGAAATGGAAATTATGAGAGAATTTATTTTAGGTAAACCATGTTATTTAATGTACATGCAATTAATTGGATATTTACTTCTTATTGGAATGGAATTACATGATAAAATATATAATGATGCAACAATATTAAAAGATGAACGATATTCAACTACCTTTTTAATTAAAATACAATATTGTGATGGCAAAATTAGTATCAGTATTAGGTATAACACTAGTTCTGTTAGTCAAGTTAAGACATCTGCTGATATAATGCAATCAATAAAAAAGGCTATCAATACCATTGCTGTAGCATCAAATAATACTTTAGAAGAATACGTCGGATGTACTGAATGCATTTTAAAAGATGAAAAGAAAATTGATATGGTTCCTGTCAAAGAAATTAAAGAAGCAAGAAACCAAGGAAAAACAGAAATATTATTCAACAAACAACATTCAGTTATGATTGGAACTTGTGCATTAGATATTCTTTTAAATGAAATGGAAAACAGTTCTATTGTACCATTATTTGAATCTAAAGATATGGATATTAAAGAAATGAAAGGGTTTGGAGGAAGTGCTAAAGTTAATAGAGTTATAGTTAATCATAAAGAGGAAATGGCATTTAAAATGTATACATTTAATAATTATGATAAAGTTTCATTAAAAGTTGGATTAGGATCAACTGCACATCTTGTTGCTTTAAAAGTCGAAGAGATGATGAAAGAATTAGAAGTATTAAAATTAACAAGAGGAAGTTCTATTAGACATACTAAATATATTCTACAATTACATGGAATTTGTTTAGAGCCATTAGGAATACTTGTTGATTATATGGGAGAAGGTACATTACAAAATTATATCGGAATTAAAAGTAATGAATTATCAATGACTATGGTTATAAGATTTGCTAAAAATATTAATAATGCTTTAGATGTTCTTCATTCAAGAAATATTATTCATCGAGACGTTAAAAGTCCTAATGTACTTCTCAAATTTAATCAACAACATCAATTAATTGCTGTACTTAGTGACTTTGGATTATCTGGTCCTTATGATGAAAATGAACACTGTATGGTTGAAAATCCATTATGGCTTCCACCAGAAGTACTTAATACTCATCATTTTCTTGCAGCATCAGATATTTATGCTTATGGAATTATTTTATGGGAAATGATTAGTAGAGAAAAACCTTTTGTTGGTTGTAAGTTTATGTCTGAAATTGCAAATAAAATTCGTGCAGGAGAAAGACCACAATTTAAACCAAATATTATTATTGATAATTCCTTAAAAGAATTAATTGAAATGTGCTGGTTAGAAGACCCTTCAAAAAGGCCATGCTGTTCTCAAATTAAGAAAGTATTACAAAAAGTTTCTAAAAATCTACCACATTAAAATTTATGTTTTTTTACTATTTTCTGTTATTCTTTCTATCCTTCATTTAGTCTTGTATTGTATAACTTATTATCACATTCCCTTTCTTATAATTTATTCTATCAAATAAACAATTTTGCTCTTATTTACTTGATAAACAAAACGAAGGTACTTAGTTTGTTTGTTCTTTAATGTTTATCTATTTATATTTTATTTCAAATTTCTTTGCATTTTTGTTTCTTCTATTTTTAGTTTCGTATTCTTAACAATACCTTTTTCTTTACATAACTTGAAGTTTTTATAATACATACTTAATATAGTTGATATTAGTTTCATTGTTGTTTTTATTTTACTATATCACTAACTATTTCAAGATTTATTTGTCTTTGTTTTATTATATTTTTTTTTAATAGAATTTAAATAGTTTACAAGATAATACCAATTTACTATTTCTTCAGATCTACTATAATTTCTCTCTGCAATTTTCTTCTTGTTCTTTCTTATTTCTTCTGTCTTGTGTTGGTGTCATTGTCTTTCTTCAAACTTACTTTTTGTGTAGGTCAGTTATTTCTCAGGTTACTCTGTTTGATTTTTTCCTATTATTACATCTTTTATCTCTTCCTTCTTTGCCTTCAAAAAATACTTTTTTCATAGTTTTCAGCCCAATAACTTACTACTAGGTCTGTTCTATTTAATTATTTGATTTTTTTCTCCTATTTTTGTTTGTGTAAAGTTCTTCTTTTCTAAAACATCCTAAAAACGTGCTTTTTCTATCATGAAAATTGGTTCAATGAAAATGTGAATACACTAACATTAATTCAATCTGACTCATTCTAAAACTAGACATTGATTTGTTTATTAAAAGAATATGTACCTATGAATTAATATAAAATATTAGAATTTGCTTTAAATATTTGTGTGATTATCTTCAATGAAACCTAAGAAATAACAACAAGTTTCCACAACCCACGACTAAGTAGATAAAAAACATCTGGAAATAAAACAGTGTAAATGAGAAAGTAATGGTCCTGTTGTTTGTAATACAACTATCTATTACAAGATATTTTTTTTATGTCAAAATATTAAAAGATTGATGATAATTTTATTATTAATTTGATTGTAAAAAAAACTTAAACATATAAATGAACGTAGAATAAATTTGAATTGACACTATAACTTTAATAATGATTTCTCATCAAATAAAATAAGACCACTTCTTCCTCCAGCTTCTTGCCATTTAATAATAACTTCACGATTAATAATGTCTTTTATTATTGCTTCATTAAATTCATCAGGTTTATCGATATAAGTAACAAGTTTATGTCTTGATTGAGCTTCTGAAAAGATAGTAGTAGTTTTTTTATGTTTATGGTTCATATGAAAAGTTTCCATTATAACAACAAATGTGTTATATGAAGGGTTATGTAAAATACAACTAATTTGAATTTCATTTTCTCCAGAACGAACTTCCCATGACTCTGCCTTTAGTCCAGTTGAAACAAATACATTAATTGGTATTTCAACTAAACGAGCAAAACAATCTTTTTCACAAGTATTATATTGGACTTGAATTGTTGATTGAAGTGAATTTGTTGTATTAATACCTACTTTTATTTGAGCAAGTTGTGAAGGTTCTAATGGAAGTTGTTTTTCAAAACAATCAAGAAGATAAATTCCTTCACCTTTAACTTTAACAAAAGCTTTACCTACTACTGTATTCCCTTCATTGAGTAAAGAAATTGGTATTGTTTTAGTTTCTCCAGGAAATACTGTTATAGAAAGAGGAAATGAAAGAGGTTTAAGTAATGGTAATGGGGGAATAACGCAAACAGTTATATTAATTGGAATATTAAAATGGAGGGAACAACAGCTATAATTAAGTTTGTCAATAGTTAATAATCCATGATGTAATGGGATAAATTTGATAGTTGAAACTATTGTAGATAATTCAGGGATTTCAATTGAAACAGGGAATGTTTTTAATTTAACACCAGTAGATTCAGGATACAAACAATTAACTTTCACAGGAATTGACAATTTATTTTTAAATGCTATTTTAAGTTCAGTTTCTTCATTTTCTACTAGATATACTTTTTCTGATGCTTTTTTATCTGCCGTTGGATCAACAATCCATGGACTATCAAGAGTGTCAGACTGTGTTTGAATTATTGGAGAAGATGGTATTATAGAAGTTGATAATAATAATGGGAGTGGTTCAGCAGAAGAAGGAATTGTTAACATTTCACCATTTATTTTTGTAATAATTTTAAGACGATTTAATAGAACGTGTTGATCATCCTTTTTAATATAAGAAATATATTTTGTTAAAAGCCTTAAAATGATTTGAGCACATTTTAGATCATATTTATTTCTTAATGAAATACTTCTAAATAATACATAAGATTGTATTGATTCCCATTGAACTTTTGTTATTGTTTGATCATGTAAAGAAGATAAATCTTCTTTTTCATCAATGTCATTCATAAAATATATATTTAATAATCTTGCTAATTCATTTATAGCAAAATTAGCAAAACTTAATTCTTTACTTAAACAACTTACTCTTTGAAGAATATATTTTTGATGTTGAATCATTCCTAATTGATTAAGTATATTAGCTTGTTGAAGAGCAACATAACAATCAAAAATATCTCCACTAATTTCATTTCCATCATACATTTTATTAATATCTTCAATAATTTTCTTTGCTTGTTCGTTATTTTGTATATCAATATAATACTGAGCAAGTAATAATTTAATTCGTTTACAACATCGTTTTTCTCCTTTTTTATTAAGTATTTCTAAAGTTTCATTTATTACATCTTCAAATGGTTTTTTTTCAGTTATTAAACAAGAACACATTCCAATACAAGCAATCATTAAACTAAATGAATCGTTAGAAGTTTTTGCCATTTTTAATGCATCTTTAAAGAACTTAAATGAAATATCAAAGTGTTTAAGATAAAGATGAACTTCACCTGCATTTAATAAGAAAGAAGTAGTTGTAGTTTTTTTTGGTAGAATATATTTATCAGGAGCTAATGCAGGATAAATAGTTTTCATTTCTCCTAATTGTAACATAACTGAATTAATAATATTTTTTACAATAGGACAATTATTAATGACATGTATTTTATTATCTTCTGTTTTAATAAACGTATTAACATTAGGTAAATCTGATGGATAATTTATTAAAAGAAATTGAATAGAGTATACATTTTCCCAATTAGCATCAACAGTTGATTGAAGAGAATTAATATGTTTCTTAATTTCATAATCTTTTAAATTTTCACAATTAAGAATACCAACAATTGAAAAGAATCGAAGAAAACTAATATTCTTATTATTAAACATCCGTTTACTCAATTTCATAAATCTAAATGGTGTATTCCCAAGATCAAATAAAAACTCAGTTCCTAATGCTTCCATCTTCTCTGCTATTGGATAAAAGAATTCATCACTTGAAGGACCAATAGGAATAATAGCAACAAGAGGAATTTGAATATCATCAAAACTATCAAATCTATTTTGTTCAAAATACTTAGAAGTATAACAGTCTTCTGCTTCTTTTGCTGATTTATCATATTCATTTAATGTACTAAAATAATTAATAAGGTCAATTGTATTTTGTTCTGTTGGTTCTAATGACATTAAAATATCTTTTTCAATCTCAAGTTTCATTCCTAATTTTCTTGCTACACTTAAAAGATGAATTAATAACGGGTCTCGTTTACCATTTTTAAACTCACACACGCTTTGTTGTAAATACATTTCACTTAATTCCCATTTACCATACTTCTCTGAATGATCAAGAATAGCTTTTATAACTTCTTCTGAAAGATTAATTGTATTAATAATTGGTAATGGTTGTTTAACATCTATGCATTGAATAAATTCAACTGAAATATTATTTTTTATTCCATTAAGAATGGCTTTTTGAACAAGTTCTTTATGATTTTCATCAATTAATTTATTATCAATATAATACTTAATAATAATAGCAGAAGGAATAAATCCTTTATCTAATAAATCAATGATATTTTGATACAAATATTTTGGAAGTAATGACTGATATTTTGTATTGATAAAATAAGATAAAAGTGTTATTATATTTTCTTTAAATTCTGAATGAATTATGGACATTATAAAATTAATAAAGTCATTGGCATATGAATAATATTTTGAATGTACAAGAGTATTAATTGGATAATTATCTAAAAAGAATAAAGTAAATTCATTTTTAGATGGTTGAATAATATCATCAGAAAGAACACAATTCATTATAGAATGATACCTTTGAATAAAAGTTAAATCATTTTCATTACCATCTTTACTTATTATATCTTTTATAAATTTAATCCCATCTTTCTTATTTGTGAATTTAATTTTATTAATTTCATTAATACTTTCTTCTCTCCAATACCAATTCTTTATTATATCAATTCCATTTTTATTCTTTTCTTGAATCAACTCATTTCCAAATAAATATAATTTTTCTCTTCTTTCTCCATGCAATGCAATTTCTTTACAACAATTTAAACTCCATTTATCTTTATTTTGATAAGCATATTCTAAAATTAAATCATTAATTCCACTTTTATCAAGATAATAACATGTACTTGGTAATAAATTTATTATATAAATAATTTTTCTAACTTCTTCTAATTCGATTGAATCTTTTAACAATGAAAGTCCATTATTATCAATAAAGAACATTAAAAAATGATAATCTAAAAAACATCGTTGAAAAATACAACAAAACCGTCCAATCATTTCTTTGTGTTGTTTCATTAATTCAATCACTGTAATAAATCCATCAAAAGCCCTAAATCTAGCTAATTCATAAGAATTATTTAAACTTATTTCAACTTGTTTAATGATAGACTCATTAAATGAATGATGTTTAACACATGAAAATAAGTCTTTATATATTTTATTATTTCTTAATGATTCATGTTCATACACTTCTTTCATATCAAAACAAGTAAATATCTCTGGAAATGATTGTTTTAGTAAATATCTTTTTTTCCATGCTTGAAGAAGAATAGAAATAGAATAATATTTATTTTCAAATACTGGAGCTATTACCTTATCAAAACAAACTTCTTTTAACTCTCCTTTTAATTTAGAAATACCTTTCTCATTACTTCCTTCTTCTATCGTTTTAAATAATGAATTGTGTGATAATAATTTACTTATATATTTCTTTGAAATATTTTCTCTTATTAATTGAATAGGATTTATACCAATTTCAATGGCTAATTCAATATCATTTTCTGCTAACCATTTAATAATCTCATCTTCTATTTCTTTATTCATTAACTCATCTTTTAAATTTTCAATTGTTATTAAATTAAGGTAATACTCTTTAATACTCTCTCCAGTCTCTTTAGTACTTTCTTTCTCTGTGTTTTTAATTAATTTATTCAAATTATTTACTTGGTTCATATTTTTTCAATTTACTGAAATTCTTTTTTCTCTTTAAAAGTTCTTTTTTCTTAAATATAAATTCGTTTTATATAACATTATTTAATTAAAATTTTAATGTAAA